AAAAAAAAAAAAAAAAAAAAAAAAAAAAAAAAAAAAAAAAAACATTCGTTAAGGGATTTAAAATTTAAAAAATTAATCGGTATTTGTCTCGATTTTGTCAGATGTATAATATCTCACATATAAAAATAAAATATACTTTGTGTGTTTATCGAAAAATTCTTTTTACACAGCTACTGCTAACGAAAACAATACTCGTTGTTCGATTGCTAGAATATGTGTACATAGTTTACCTTGAAGGCATTCTAATGGATAAACTCTTGTTACTTATACTCAAAATAAGGTCAAAAATTAGGGGAAGAAAAGATATAAAAAAAATTTTATTCATCATTGAAACGAATCTGGGCAAAAAAAAAAATTGCTTAAAACTTTCTTAAAGCGACCGTTTGAATGACTGTAGAAAATGTTTGTCTCCCATCAATAGGTCAATATATTTGGTCATAATTTCCATTTTTTTTCATTCATCGCCGGTGTGATCATGATCAGCGACCACATACACAGATCCTCTTCACACGTTCAGAGAGCCTAGGTTATGTCGACGCACAATTTTCCGTTAACCAACAATATTAATACGTTATAATGTTTGCGATAAGTAGATCAGTGTTTATTAAACGAAGTGACAGATCTCATAAATTCTTATTCTTTGCTGATGAGCCTACAAAATTTAAGAAAAAAAAAAAAAAACTGAAAAAATCTAATTTGGCTTGGAAAGAATTATTATTGCAATCAATTATAGAATCAATTATCTGTGCGCACTACATGATGGTTACATTCAAACCGCCTAATATTTGCGACACATAGAAAACAAGTGTCGCAGATTCCGAAGCCAAGTCGAACACGATTACGTCCTTGTTTCGGTTTGACTATTGGTTGTGATATATTCATAATATACATACATACATACATACATGTATGGTTATGTTCCTATGCCAGTAAAGCGTACTTTCTAATGCATCTTAGGTTCAAATGTCCTCTAACTCTCTTGCATTGCTTTGTAATGTAAAGTGTAATGTAAAGTTTCATTGTCGTATCATCAAAAAGCTCTACAATTGAATTTGAAATAAATCAGTTTTTCGGAAAGTGCAGTACGTTTAATACTATTCGAAGTCATCATCATTATAATCATTATTTCAAAACATTTTTTACGGGCCGAATTATGGACGTTATGTATGGGTGCAATTTTACGTAAGATTTTAGTTAATTATATTATTTTAATAGCTTATTACGTCATAGCAAACATATCAAATATCTGCAACGGACTTACTTTTCTGAAATTTTCTACAACGAGTTTCCACATCTGCACCTTCCAATGCAATGACTTTGTTCAAAAATGTTGTTTTTTTTTTACAACTAATTTCCATTCATTTCTTTATTTTACGGTGAACTACACCTTAGTAGCAAAGAAGGAAAGTTGTGATAAGCAATAAAGACAAAAAATGAAATAACTTAGACGATCCTGATGGGCTATCTTCGATTCGCTGATAACCCGCAAGCGTGGCCGCGCAACTAAGAACCGCGACTATCAACTCAGGGTTCGCGAGTTCAAGTCTCAAGTGCGACAGCGTTTACTTTGGTTATAGCTACAGTGAATGCTCAGTGGGCAAAGGCGTAACACTTATCGACTGGGCACGCACCCACTAGGCTGCGGCTTGCACCCCCTATCTCTTTTTCTTTCCTTACTTTCACTGCGTCACACGAATAGAATACATCGCTCAAATGGTTGGTAAAAAAAAGAAGAAGAAAATAGCCATGTTTATCGAAACTATGTATCTCTTCGAAGGCAAGGGAGTAAAAATTTCTTTCAAATAGATATCAATAGGCCGCAGCGTTTTTCCGAAAACAAGCCATATGAAGTCGATACTTCCGAACACTGTTTTTAGTATACCAATGTATGCCAACGAACTTTGCAAAGATCCTCTTATGCCCCATATTGCAATTAGGATATGTTGGCAAACATCTTCCTTGGAGAAGACCTTCTAATAAATATTAAAAAAGTGTTTCCATATCGATTTTGGCAATTTTCAAGTTGTCGATTCAATTTGAAAAATCAAATTGCCAACAGTTTGTTGTTGTTAATCCTAACCGATTTAAAGAAACATTTCAGTTCATTTACATTATTTTAGAGGCATCTCTATGTAAATCAGCGAAGTATTTGCAAAAGCATGCGAAATTTTCTAATTAAGACGGGTTAGCCCTCCGAATCCAAGCTTAAAAGTTATATTAAATGTCGTTATACCCTACACTACTTGTGATAAAAAGCACGTATGTTTGACGTATGCGATACTTGGAAAGACTTGAGATAGACTCGATTTTTACTATATCAGAATCATTTGCTGAAACGGTCTAAACTATCCGATCCGCCCGCCTATTCATGTGTTTTATGCCTACCCTAGTTTGCAATTGTTACAATATTTGAACTAAATTTGATATGCTTACGTCTTTTGGCCCAAAAATGAACCTTATTAAATATAATTTTGATCTGACAAGTTTTTCGACAATTTCCCATATAACGCCTTATTTTGTCGTCGTCGTTTAATCATTAACATGTAACATGATGTAGCGTATTTAATGACGGCCCTTGACCAACGAAAGTGTTTTTATTTGTTTCTAGTTAAATTTCAAGTTATCTGCACACCCTTCACTTTTGCCGATATATTAAATTGCGTACGTCAATTCGCATTCGTTGGTAGTTTTCTGCAGAGATTTATGTATTTCCGTTCATTGGCATTGGATTAACTAAACAAACAAAAGCACAATAGAAGCTCTATATAAGCCTAAGATATAGAGCAACAATTTTAGATTTACTTTGATGCATACCAAGATTTGAAAAAACGTATTATTGCAGATGATTACATGCTCATAAAGAGCTTTAGTTTGGCATGTGCTTCAAATAGAAGGTGAAATATTCGATATATTTTCCATCTGCCCTAGTTTTCGGGATAATGAGTAACTGTCCTATATCTATCTACCTTTACTAGAATACGTCCGTTTGACTACATTTTTTTTCTTCTTTTTAAAAGATTGCAATTACAATAATGTAGACAGAAAGATGTTGTTTAGCAGTTAACAAACTCATAGTTAACGAAAGAGATTCGGTGATATATCTGATATTGAAATGCGATAAAGATTTACTATATATCTTTATTAAAACCATCCAAAAATTCCAATACGCTCCAAATTAACACCAATTTTAGAGAGATTTTAAATTCAAATGTTCAAGAAATGTTCTGCATAAGCGTAATTTCTCTTATAGTAAACAAAATAGTAATTACATTATTTGGATATAATAGGTCTACCGGAATGTTCTATTCCTTCTGGTTACAACAAGTTTCAATGCATATATGGCTCTCGCTTTTCTTTATCACTGAATGCATTATGCATACAGTTCTGGCAAATGAACGCTAAAGCGTAGATGATAAATTCATGTTAGTATTAAGTGAGACATGATTGCGTACGCATGGCTAACTGATGAAATTCGTTTACGCCATTGTATTTTGTACGAATTCGAGCAAGGAAACAATGCTACAG